GGGGAAGCACATAGTTTGTGAAATACTTTGACTTTCTAAGAGAAGTGCTCACAAAGGTGTTGTGACCACACCCATTTGGATCGTTTTTTGGTGACATTCATTGCAGTCAGGATGTGTGTGATAGTAGCAAGAACATGACTTTGAAGTCAGACCCATATTTGGATCATAGATTTACTACTCAGTGTCTGTGCAGTCGTAGAAGAGGAAACTCGGCGCTTCAGCTTCCTCCTGTATAAATACGAAGCTGTCCGGTGTGCAGGGTTAAATGAAAAGAAGTGTGAAGTCACCTACTGTGCCGCCCATATCAATGTAGGTATTATGAGCCACACTCCCTGGATTTGGTTCCTGACTTCTTACAGTTACTAGCTACGTGGCTTTGGGAAAATATTATCTCAGCATTCAACTTCCTTGTTTTTAACATGGGGTGATAGGTTGTAAAGAGAATGCATATTAACAAGGAGGCAAAGGACATTTATAGAGGTCTAAATACAGGCAAGTACATATGTAAATATGACTGCTCATTTCTATATGTTAAGAGTTAATGTTACAGATGGACATTGGGCCTCAACTCAAGTACTCCCTTAACACGAGAACACTTTGTTCTAACAATCCGGCATTCTGTGATGTTCACCTTTCCAACAAAATTACTGAAGACAAATGGGTGCATAAGTAAATGTGGTGAAGAAAGTTGATGGTGCCCAGCTATCAAAAGATATAGTATCTGGGGTCTTAAAGGCTTTAAGTTAAATAAGCGGCCATCTAGCTGAGAAGCAACAAAGCCCACATGGAAGAAGCACACCAGCCTGTGTGATCATGAGGTGTCAAGGGATCAGGTGTCAGGCATCTAAGACCAAGAACAAAATCATACCCAATGTGAATGGGGGTGGGGGATGGTGATGAGTGGAGAACCAATGCCCAACTGTAAACAATTGGACATCCACTCACAGAGGGGTCACAGGGAAGAGATGAGCCAGTCAAGGTGCAATATAGCACCAATGAAGCACACAACTTTCCTCTAGTTCTTTGGTGCTTCCTTCCACCCACTATCATGACCTGAATTCTGCCTTACAAATTGGATTAGATCAGAACATGCACACTGCTACAGATAAGAGCCTGAAACACAGGGAATCCAGGATAGATAAACTCATCAGGGCCAACAAGGAGAGTAGAGATACCAGGAGGATTAGGGGAGGGTTGGGGGAGGAAGGGGGAATCGATCACAAGGATCAACTACAACCCCCTCCCAGGGGGACGAACTATGGAAAAGTGGGTGAGGGGCAACGGAGGATGATGTAAGATATGAAAATAATGATCTATAACTTATCAAGGGTTTGTAAGTGAGGTGGGGGAGGGAAGGGGAAGAAATGGGGAGCTGATATCAGGGGCTCAAGTGGGAAGACAATGGTTTGAAAATGATGATGGTGGCATATGTGCAAATGTGCTTGACATACTGGATGAATGTATGGATTATGATAATAGATGTAAAAGTCCCCAATACAAGTATTTTAAAAATTCATATTTAACAGCATCAGAGCTCAAGTTCTAAACACCTGTTTTACAGAACGCTATGGGTGACAATGAAAGCCTAAAGTCCATTTGCAGCAATCCCACATGCGCTAAGTCTCCAGTGAATTCCCTCTGACCATAATCCAGGGAAGTGAATAACTTGCTGTCACACAGAGAGCATTGTACAAGTGGATTTTAGCAGCTGTAGTTAGGCTAAATGATCTCCCTTTTGACCCATTTTGAATTTGTTTTTCATTATTTTCTGATTTCTTTTATGATTGAGGTTTTTCTCTGTTTTATGTGGTCATCGTTGTTGGGTCCTTTTTCATTTTTACCTCTTTCGTACATTTTTCTTTATTGGGACTTGAGGATAAGTAAATCTGTAGAGACAGTAACTGGATTATGGTTACTTAGGGGCACAGTTAGGGGGTGTTGCAGGAAGTGGGGAATCAACAACTGAGTATAAGAGAGAAGATGATCTACAGTTGATTGTGGTGATGGTTGAACTATTGAATTGTATATGTTCTCTCTCATTAAAACTTTTTAAAAAATGAGAATTTACATTTGTAAAGCTTTTAGCACATGCAGTTTTTTCTATTACTAAATTGTTAGGTCCATGAGAATAAGAGCCTATGTTTTGTATTACTTAACATCCAATATAGTCCTTACACTTAATGATTCAGAATTTGAGTTTTGTAGGAATTTGCCAAATTACGGCATTGACTGTGCTTTTGCACGTTAGCCATTGGGGTTAAAGGATCCACTTGAGAATCAATGTGCCTTCATACACATTCTCCTTTTTTTTTTTTCCGTATCAACGTATTCAGTTTATTATGGAAGCTACTTTAAGCTTTCATCTTTAAGAAGAGTTTATCCATCGCATGCCACAATCTACATCTTCTTTGCATGTTTCTTTCTTTCTTTTTAATCATTTTTTGGGGGGCTCTTACAGCTCTTATAACAATCCATACTTCCATTGTTCAAGCACATTTGTACATATGTTGCCATCATCCTTTTAAAAACATTTTCTTTCTACTTGAACCCATGATAACAGCTCCTCATTTTTCCTCTCCCTTCCCCATACTCCCACCCTCATGAACCCTTGATAGATTATAAATTATTATTATTTCTTTTTTGAAAAATTATTATTATTTTCATATCTTACACCATCCACTGTTTCCTTTCACCCACGTTTCTATTGTTCGTCGCCCTGGGGGTGAGGGGCGATCATTGCGATCTCTTCCCCTTTCTCTCCCCATCTTCCCATCTTACCCTCATGGTATCGCTGTTTCCATTACTGTTCCTGAGGGGCTGTCAGTCCTGGATTCCGTGTTTCAAGAGTTCTTATCTGTACTGGTGTACATGCTCTGGTGGCGGGGGTTAGCATTACAGAATTAGAGGAAAGTTGTATGCTTCTTTAGTGCTATGCTGCACCCTGGCTGGCTCGTCCCTTCATTGTGACCCTTCTGTTATGGGATGTCCAATTGTCTACAGATTGGCATTGGGTCTCCACCCCACCCCACCTCATTTGCTTTGATATGATTGTTTGTTTTGGGTCTTCTGATGCCTGATAACTGGTCCTGTCTACCCCTCATGATCACACAGGCTGATGTGTTTCTTCCATGTCGGCTTTCTTTTTTCCCAGCTAGATAGCCACTTGTTTAATTTCAGTCCTTTAAGACCCCAGACACTATATCTTTTGATAGCCCTGCACTATCAGCTTTCTTACCACATTTGCTTGTGTACCCATTTTGTCTTCAGGTGTCAGGAAGGTGAGCATCACAGAATGCCAGGTTATTAAAACAAAGTGTTCTTGTGTTGAGGGAGTACTTGAGTAGAGGCCCAGTGTCTGTCTGCTACCTTATTACTTAACGTATAATATATGTACATAGATCTATGTCCCTATCGTTATATATAAATATATTCATGTATGTGTATGCCTGTATTGATACCTCTATAAATGTCGTTTGTCACATTCTTATTTGCCGTGATACCGAAACCTTAGCATAGAGCCAGGTGACCCACAACTGCACGATTGTTCATTTTATCCCGGACACTTAGGCAAAGGAGTAGGATAAGCACTATGAGAGCAGTACATGTGAAAGCGAGAGAGAGTAGTCAATAGATAATAAATCTCTTTATTGTAAATGTTAGCATATTATTTAGGCCAAAAAAATCTCAATGTCATGTTTGGGAAAGGGTATGCCTGGCTTGACTACTGGGCTAAGGACTTAGAGGTTAAGAAAGAAATTAAAAATAGATTAACTTTATACCCATTAATTTATTTTGTCCTTGTCCATTGATATATTTTAGGTCTGTGGAATTCCTCACCAGGGGAATCTTTAAAGGAAGAATAGCAAGTAGTAGTTTCAGGCTGTTTGTTGGGCACCTTTCCTGATGTGTGGTACTAAAGTCTGTTAATTGAGATTTTATAAGCAAAAGAAGGATTGGCAACTAACCCCATTCCCTGCCTTGTCCTCCTGTACTAGGGGCTGAACAAAAGATGAATGGATTACCTAGATCATACTTGTACAGTTAATGTTGTGATGTTTTATCATACAGAAAAAAATATTTGAGACTTGACATTTTTCACTAGCAGCTTTTTTCATAATTCAGATGAATTAACTTTTTTTTTAATGAAAGCATATTCAATATTTTGGCCTTTAATTGAGTTCCACTTTGCTCTCTAAATGAGATTTATCATTGCCTTAGTTACTCTTTAGTGTGCAGTTAATTCTTTATATTTGATTTTTTAAATCACTTTGCTGACTGTAGATGACTGTCACTTGGATTAAAATGCTGTTATGTTTGTTCATCTTCATATTTAGCTTTGTAAGAGCTTTTTTTCACCTCCTTTTTTTTTAACCCATGCTGCCCAGCCAAATGTAGTTTTTGATGTTGTTTATCAAAATTCTTCTTGAAGTTAAATTAAAAGACCTTATCTGCATAGTTCAAATCCATACTACAATACACTTGAGTTCTCAGAAATTACGGTCAGAAGTCTTACTATGGAAGGGAAGTGGATGAGAATGATGAGACGGACATCTCCGCCCGCAAGGAATGGACAATCTAATTGGAAAACCAGACTTACATATATGAAAAGTAATAGTTAGACGATAGTTCTAGTAGTACTCCACACAGGAGCACATAATTAACATACATTTGTGTGCTCCAGACTCTGGGATTTAGAAAAAGGAGTGATAATTTTAGTCCACGTTGGTCAAGAAAAACGTTATTGGGCTCGTGGATTTTCAACTTAGTCCTGAAACGAGAAATTTTTGAATTAGAGAAGACTTATTTAGGCTTCTTGGTGAATTTCGCTATACTTTTTCTCTAGCTGTTTTTCCATGAGGGAAAAAAAATCTTTATATGTTCTCTTTTAAAATGTTTTCTATCCACTGTAATTAAACATTTAATAATAAGCATTTAGAAATGTTTGATATGTGCGTTGCTGTGTCTGCCTTCAGCCTTCTATTTCTGTGTGTTTGTCACAGACACCCTGGTTTTCAGCTGCTAAAGGAAGGACAAAGGTATGGTTGCGTCAGTATCACTTACCTTCTCTATATTCATGTTAGGAGAAACATTAGTAAACCAGGTGCGATGAGCTCTGGACTTCCTGTGCTGATGCATTATGTAAGTATCCCATTCTAATCTACACAAAGAAATATTTGGCCTGTTTAGCTTTTGCTTTTGTGGTGGTAAGATGATGTGTTTGACTTGCATGATTTATTGTACTGCTCTTCCTACTGAGGAAGTCTAATTGAACCTGTTGAAATATGACACAAACACAACTTCTAATTTAGAGACAGTGGTTCTTTGCCAACTAGAATATGCCAATTACATTTGTTGAAAGATTTTTTTTAACCTTATTTTATAGGATCAGTGTATCAGTTATTTAATTATTTTAAAGTGTCTAAAACACTGATAGACATTCCAAGTTTGATTTTTTTTTTTTTCCTTTAAAAAAAAAGCCACTGATTTACTAGCCTGGCTATAGCTATCTGTCAGCATATGTCTTTTTACTCCCAGAGAGATTTATTTATTGATGTATATTGTAATTTATAGTTTCAAAGTGATAGAAAGAAATACGTAACCACTTAAAAATGTTCTATCTCCAAAGGAAACTATGAAATAAATGAAAATTGAATTGTTCAGATTTTTTGGAAATTATGCTTCTTATCCAAGAGCCATTCCCATGGTTATATTGGTAAAATATAACTTAAAAGAAAATTTATACTGAACAGACTTGTCCTCTTTTCTTGATTCCCATCTACAACCTTGTTTTCAACTCTTCAGGGTTTTGTTGTTGTTGTTGTTGTTGTTTTTATTTGTTTTAGACTTTCCTCCAGCATGTTTCTTGACCCAGAATCCTTCTCATGATGGTCTTTTATCTGAATGTGGATTTGTTTGAGGGCAGCTTCTTACCCGCCTTTGCTTATCTCAAGTTTGTATTGGCAAAGCCATGTTTTGCCTTTACTCTTTCATAATTCTTCATCTTTTTCAAACCTAACCAGATAAGGGAAAGAACATGTAAACCAAACTAAAGCTATTGCCTTTTATTGTTAGCGTTTTGTTTTAACTCTGGGTTTTTCAATATAAATCTCTTTCTTTGATAAATGATGATTTGCTAATCTATTTCACCCTATTAACTTCGTATGGTTTTGATTCTATGAAATCTCCCATATGACTGTCATTGAAATTTTTTAAATGCTTAGCCTCCTTTTATGCTTTTATTTTTCTAAACCGGGTTCTTGCAATCATATATATGTATAAATATATATTGTGAGGAAACTGGTAATGAAATTTACAAAAGAAAAAACTTTTTTAAAAGATTATATTAAATAGTTATAGAAAAACAATAGGCCAAAAATATCTAAATAATTTAGTGGGTTAGAATTATCAAATGCTTCTTTTTGCTGTACTCCTTTACATTTTATTTTAAATGAAAAAGAGAATGTCATGGGAACTATATCAAATATATACTCATGGTAGAGAATCATAAACTTCTTTTGAAATTTATATATCAAAGCCTTTTGGCAAGACTTTGCCTCGGGTAAAAATGTCTGCCTTGAAAGTTTCAAAGTGTCAGTACTGGGAGACATTTTGCTCCCTGTTACAGTGATTTTGTGTATGTTTTCTTTCACAGTGGCCACTCTGGAGAAGAAGTCCAATTGTGCACTCAGGCCATTAAAACATCGGATATTGACGATCCTGGCTGTTCTGAAAAGCAGTATGAATCCAGTTCTCCTAGCACCTGTAGTGATAGTAGCAGTGATGATGAGCAAGACTTTGTTTCCTCCATTCTTCCAGGAAACAAACCAAGTGCAACGGGCGTACAGCCACAGCTGCACAGAAAAGGCAGCATGAAAAAGAAAGCTGATCGCCAAGTTCCCTCCCAACAGAAAGACCAAGGGAAGGCAACAGTAGATGTTGCGGCGCAGTTAGGCAGTTGCAGATTAGGTAATCAGGAGAAAGCGGTGCTGGCGGCTGCTGCTGTTTGTGTACTTCCTTCACAAAATGTAAACACTCAGATTTCGTCAGACTGTCCTTTGCAAGAAAAAGTCAAAGCTGAAAAGTCTGAAAATAGATACCGGAGCTCAGAAATAACTCTCGTAGGCATAAGTAAGAAAAGTGCAGAATATTTTAAGAACAAATTTGCCAAATCAAACCACGTTTCTAGGTCAGGGCAAGTCTGTCCTGAAGTTGCAAAGACAAACTTGCTTAAAGTCCTGAAGGAGACTTTTATGGAGTGGAAGACAGAAGAAACCTTGAGGTTCTTACATGGTCAGAATTATGCATCTGTGTGTCTGAGAGCCCCTTCGGCCCTTCTGACACAAGCAGAAGAACTTGATGAGGATGACTTCAGCTCCGACCCAGCCCGTCACGCCCCTGCCCTACGGAACTCTGCGATTAGTTTGGATGAGGCTTTGCCTTTCCGGGGATCAGATACAGCCACTAAACCATTACCAAGTTACGAGAACTTGAAAAAAGAAACTGAAACACTAAATGTAAGGATTAGGGAGTTTTATAGAGGACAATATGTTTTGAATGAAGAATCTACAAAATCCCAAGACTCAGAAGAGGTATGTCCTCATACGTATTTCCATGCTGGTAACATACTCATGGCTTTATGAAAGTTATTCAAAGTCTCTTGAATCTGCTTGCTCATCTGTAAAGGAGACTGTTAATAATGTCCCTTTCAAAACTGCTATGAGTTTTAAAGGTGTTTTTTATAAAGCATTTATTACAATGTCTAACATCATATTGGTACTCAGTAAATACAAGTGAAATGTAGAGAATGAATTTCTACATCTGAGATTTAAAGAGGCTATCTTAGCATTTGCTTTAGCCATTTTTGATTGATGTGATATGTTGCTGGAAAATGAAATCATTTGGCATGAAAATGAGTTACTTGACTTTTTTATCTTTTTTTCATTAAAAGATCATTTTGTTAGGGCTCTTACAACTCTTATTATAATCCATACATCAATTGTATCAGGCATATATGTACATATGCTGCCATCGTTCTTTTCTAGACATTTACTTTCTATTCAGCCCTTGTTCCCCCCATCCCCACCCTCATGACCCCTGGATAGATTATAAATTATTATCATTTCATATCTCACACTGACCACTGTCTCCCTTCCCCCATGGTTTTTGTTGTTCTTCCTCCTGGAGGAGTGTGTGGTTATGTGTCGATCATTGTGATCTGTTCCCCCTCTCTCCTCTTCCCCATTTCCCCTACCCTTTGGTATTGCTACTGCCATTCCTGTTTCTGGATTCCATGTGTCATGAGCTTTTATCTCTTTGCCTGTGCCTGTGTACATGTTCCGGTCCAGTCCAGAGTGAGAAGCAGCACTGGGGTCATGATAGAGGGGTGGGGGTGCGGGTGGGGGTGAGGAAGCCTCAAGGAATCAGAAGAATATTGTGTGTTCCATCAGTGCTTTACTGCATCCTGGTTGACTCATCCCTTCCTTGCAACCTCTCTGTGTGGGGGGATGTTCCGTTGTTTACAGATGGGCTTTGGGTCTCTGCTCCGACCCCCCTAGTTCTCAACAATATGTTTTTGTTTGCTTGTTTGTTCGTTATGGGTCTTCTGATGCCTGTTACCCGGTCCTGATGACACCTCATGTTCGCAATGGCTGGTGTACTTACATGTGGGCTTGTTGCTTCACTGCTGGATGGCCGCTTGTTTAACTTCAAGCCTTTAAGACCTCAAGTGCTATATCTTTTAATAGCCGGGCACTATCCGCTTTCTTCAGCACATTTCCTTATGCACCCATTGTGTCTTTAGTGATTGTGCTGGGAGGGTGAGCATCACAAAATCCCAGTTCGTTAGAACAAAGTGTTCTTGTATTGAAGGAGGGTATGAGCAGAGGTCCGAAGTCCTTCCACTACCTCAGTGTATTGCCATATAAATATATGTACTTAGGCCATTACCTCTATTTGGATGGATTAATGTATTTACATATGTACACACCTAGGCTTATACCTCTGTCCATGGCTTTGCTTCCTAGATCTTTCCTCTGTTACCTTTCACCCTCCTCCTGCTTTCACCATCACGCTCGCCCTACTTTCACCTCTTAGTATTTCCTCTTAGCTAGATTGCTGTTGTTCCAACACCCCAGGATCTCCATATCTTCCTCATTGTTGATTTTAATTCCCTAGTTGTTACCCTGTCTGTGGCATCGTTTCTTTACCACACCCTTTTCCCCCCTGCCCTCCCCTCCACCCCGTCTCCTCCCCCCAAGTCCCTCCGGACCATCAGTCCGTTGCTTTCTCCTCGAACTTGCTTCCCATGCCTGTCTACATAAGTAGGCAAACCAACAATGACATAGACTAAACATAGACATAGAACAAAAGATTGACAAAAGAAAAGGAAAAGAGAAAAAACACACATAATTCCAGGTCTGTCCACTGACCTTTATGACTATCTCCTCCCTGGTCCTGGGGGAATTCCGGGAGCTGCCCCTCCTAGTCTGAAGTCTATTTTGGGGGCTCCTTAGAGGCTTTGTGGCTTGGCTTTGCTCCAGTTGCTGATCTGTTATGCTCCCTTCTTAGTTTGCCGCCCCTCTGCTGGGGGGTTCAGACCACACGACCTCCCCGCCGTGTGTCCCCATTATTGCCCTCGGTCGCAGTATGCTCTCCAGTAAGAGACATGTCATGAGCTGTTGTCCGCCCTACAGCCCTCTCTGTGCCTCAGCAGCTCCATGCAGGGACGTCGTCCTCCGGCTTGGTGTGCCAGTCTAGGGTCTAGGCCATTGTCCCTTTCTGTTTCCTTCTTGGTTTGCTTCTGTGTGGGCGTGGTAGGCCGGCCCCTCTCCCCAACTTGTAGGTCTAGTGTTGTTCTCTGTTGCACATACTTCTAGGGAGGGGTCAGTATGGCTTTGGTTGGGGCCGGCCCTTAGCCCATCTTTTCAAACATTCCTCCACATGTTTACGTTGAATGAGTTACGTTGAATGAGTTTAATAATTCTGATAACGTCATTATCTGGATTCCTTGGGGGTTGGCTTCTAAAGTGGAATGTTTTAGATTTTGTTCATATTATTTTATTATTTACTATATGCCAAAAATTGTATATAAAAAAGTACAGATGTAATTTGAGACCTAGGATAATGCTATCTTCCTTTAGAATAGATTTAGATTTGCTGAGTTAAGCTCATATTAGCTAATTTTAAAATCTAGTTCTTTTTCTACTGTGCCATAGTTGTAAACCTTGGGGGTTTAATGTTGGTTGTTCTCCTATATCAGAAAAAGAATGTAAAATTTTGATTTTACTTAACCACCTGATTCAGCATGATCCCAGCTTTCTACTGATAAGTTTTTTTTTCTTTTCTTTTTCTTATTTAAGAATCAAGTTCTTAAAACTAGATTTAGAAAGTTATTTGCAGCATTCCGAAACCACCTTATCCAATCAGAGATTAAGCTTATTTGAAAGTGGGCACTGGCCCCAGTAAGAACCAGTCTATTTTCCATCAATTCTTCCTGTTAAGGTGTAAGTCCCTTTAGTCTCAGAAGCCAAAACCAAACTCACACCACCGAGTCAATTCTGACAGATAGTGAAACCCTCTGGGCAGAATAAAACTGCCTCTGTGGGGTTCCGAGATGATACATCCTTATAGAAGCAGAAAGCCTTATGTTTCTCCTTCAGAGCGGCTGGTAGTTTTGAACTGCTGACCTGTGGTTAGCAGCCCAACTTATAACCCACAACACCACCATGCCTTCTTGGGGGTTTGCTAGTACTCCCTTTTTGGCATACCTTGAACTTTACTTTTTATTAGAAAAACTCTGCTCCATCCTGAACATCTCATTTACTGCTTCTGGAATTGGTCAGGGCTTCTCTGGAGTTATTTTTCCAGGATCCCGGGTCCTAGTTTTTTAAATCCTTTAGTTTTCCGATGCTTTCAAATAAACGTGGAGGGTCTTCCCCAGGTTTTTCAGTTCTCATCAGGAAGATTGATTTGAATGATCTGATCTGCCATTTCTAGAAGCAGAGTTCTCCATAACATATTTATAACATTTGCTAATTTTAAATCTTTAATCCCTTATATTTGTATAACATTTATCAATTTACAGATTTCATTTGTATAATACACTCAGTAAAAGGACATTTCCATTGCCAATTCTGCCCCATATACACCCTTAAGACAGACTACAACTGCCCGTTAGGGTTTCCAAAGCTGTTGTCTTGATGGAAGCGACGGCCACACCTGTCTTTCATGGTGAGCTCCTTGTACTGGGTCTGCCTTTCAGTTAGTCATTAGGACCCCTGTTTTATAGATGGGGAAAATTCATTCTCAGAGGGAGCAAATGACCCAACTAAGTTCCTGATAGCTTAATTGTAATGCCTAGGTCTATTTCTACTGTCTGAAATTGTAAACTTTCCATTTTTCTTTTGTATAAAAAATAATGCAAAATTTTAATCCTGTTTTTGTTTCACTTCAACATGTTTCAGCGTGATCCCACCTTTCCACTGATAGATTCAAGTTCTCAAAACCAGATTCGAAAACGCATTGTACTTGAAAAACTGAGTAAAATGTAAGTATGTCTGTCACTCCCATTTTGTAATAATTTAACATGAACTCAGTTTTAAGTTCATAATTGTATTATCCTTGCATTTTAAGCATTTTGGAAAATAATGTGTGAAATTCACATTTGTCTCTTTACCTGCATTTTTTTTTTTAATTTAATTTTTTTTTTAACATTTTATTAGGGGCTCATACAACTGTTATCCCAATCCATACACACATCAATTGTGTAAAGCGCATTTGTACATC